AACTTCCAAAACATGCTGCTTCACAAGCTGAGGAACATTCAGCAATGTTAACTTCCAAAACATGCTGCTTCACAAGCTGAGGAACATTCAGCAATGTTAACTTCCAAAACATGCTGCTTCACAAGCTGAGGAACATTCAGCAATGTTAACTTCCAAAACATGCTGCTTCACAAGCTGAGGAACATTCAGCAATGTTAACTTCCAAAACATGCTGCTTCACAAGCTGAGGAACATTCAGCAATGTTAACTTCCAAAACATGCTGCTTCACAAGCTGAGGAACATTCAGCAATGTTAACTTCCAAAACATGCTGCTTCACAAGCTGAGGAACATTCAGCAATGTTAACTTCCAAAACATGCTGCTTCACAAGCTGAGGAACATTCAGCAATGTTAACTTCCAAAACATGCTGCTTCACAAGCTGAGGAACATTCAGCAATGTTAACTTCCAAAACATGCTGCTTCACAAGCTGAGGAACATTCAGCAATGTTAACTTCCAAAACATGCTGCTTCACAAGCTGAGGAACATTCAGCAATGTTAACTTCCAAAACATGCTGCTTCACAAGCTGAGGAACATTCAGCAATGTTAACTTCCAAAACATGCTGCTTCACAAGCTGAGGAACATTCAGCAATGTTAACTTCCAAAACATGCTGCTTCACAAGCTGAGGAACATTCAGCAATGTTAACTTCCAAAACATGCTGCTTCACAAGCTGAGGAACATTCAGCAATGTTAACTTCCAAAACATGCTGCTTCACAAGCTGAGGAACATTCAGCAATGTTAACTTCCAAAACATGCTGCTTCACAAGCTGAGGAACATTCAGCAATGTTAACTTCCAAAACATGCTGCTTCACAAGCTGAGGAACATTCAGCAATGTTAACTTCCAAAACATGCTGCTTCACAAGCTGAGGAACATTCAGCAATGTTAACTTCCAAAACATGCTGCTTCACAAGCTGAGGAACATTCAGCAATGTTAACTTCCAAAACATGCTGCTTCACAAGCTGAGGAACATTCAGCAATGTTAACTTCCAAAACATGCTGCTTCACAAGCTGAGGAACATTCAGCAATGTTAACTTCCAAAACATGCTGCTTCACAAGCTGAGGAACATTCAGCAATGTTAACTTCCAAAACATGCTGCTTCACAAGCTGAGGAACATTCAGCAATGTTAACTTCCAAAACATGCTGCTTCACAAGCTGAGGAACATTCAGCAATGTTAACTTCCAAAACATGCTGCTTCACAAGCTGAGGAACATTCAGCAATGTTAACTTCCAAAACATGCTGCTTCACAAGCTGAGGAACATTCAGCAATGTTAACTTCCAAAACATGCTGCTTCACAAGCTGAGGAACATTCAGCAATGTTAACTTCCAAAACATGCTGCTTCACAAGCTGAGGAACATTCAGCAATGTTAACTTCCAAAACATGCTGCTTCACAAGCTGAGGAACATTCAGCAATGTTAACTTCCAAAACATGCTGCTTCACAAGCTGAGGAACATTCAGCAATGTTAACTTCCAAAACATGCTGCTTCACAAGCTGAGGAACATTCAGCAATGTTAACTTCCAAAACATGCTGCTTCACAAGCTGAGGAACATTCAGCAATGTTAACTTCCAAAACATGCTGCTTCACAAGCTGAGGAACATTCAGCAATGTTAACTTCCAAAACATGCTGCTTCACAAGCTGAGGAACATTCAGCAATGTTAACTTCCAAAACATGCTGCTTCACAAGCTGAGGAACATTCAGCAATGTTAACTTCCAAAACATGCTGCTTCACAAGCTGAGGAACATTCAGCAATGTTAACTTCCAAAACATGCTGCTTCACAAGCTGAGGAACATTCAGCAATGTTAACTTCCAAAACATGCTGCTTCACAAGCTGAGGAACATTCAGCAATGTTAACTTCCAAAACATGCTGCTTCACAAGCTGAGGAACATTCAGCAATGTTAACTTCCAAAACATGCTGCTTCACAAGCTGAGGAACATTCAGCAATGTTAACTTCCAAAACATGCTGCTTCACAAGCTGAGGAACATTCAGCAATGTTAACTTCCAAAACATGCTGCTTCACAAGCTGAGGAACATTCAGCAATGTTAACTTCCAAAACATGCTGCTTCACAAGCTGAGGAACATTCAGCAATGTTAACTTCCAAAACATGCTGCTTCACAAGCTGAGGAACATTCAGCAATGTTAACTTCCAAAACATGCTGCTTCACAAGCTGAGGAACATTCAGCAATGTTAACTTCCAAAACATGCTGCTTCACAAGCTGAGGAACATTCAGCAATGTTAACTTCCAAAACATGCTGCTTCACAAGCTGAGGAACATTCAGCAATGTTAACTTCCAAAACATGCTGCTTCACAAGCTGAGGAACATTCAGCAATGTTAACTTCCAAAACATGCTGCTTCACAAGCTGAGGAACATTCAGCAATGTTAACTTCCAAAACATGCTGNACGGGGGGTGGGGGTTCTAAAAAAGGTCATTTTTAGATTGACGTAATTTACGAACGACCCCATAGCACTTCATATGTTATGACTATTGCTTCTCTCAAGATCTGGGAGGCGAATACATAATTTTCGCTACTTTTTTAACTATCCTGTTGATGAAAGCATAGACTTAGATACTGAGCGAATGCTGCAACTGATCTTGTTCCAAAATAATCGACTAGGAAAGCAAAATAATGTTTTAAAAAAATTAACTTCACTCCAGACAAGTCTGTCTCAGTCAAGTCTTTAACTATGTACACGTCGAAATGTTAGGACACCTTAAAAAAACAACTGGTTATCAATATCTTTTGGAAATGTTTTAGGAAACCCATTATGACCTTTAATCACAAGCCTGTTAATGTCAAACAAGGCGATTATGCGAAATATACAAAGTATAAAGCAGTGGCGTAGCTAGGGTCGGTGTCACCCGGTGCGGCAAACTCATGGTGTCACCCCTCCCCCCCCACCCTGACTTCCAATGTGGATTTGTTATTGTTAAAATAAGTCCACAGTATAATAATGACAAAAACAAATCAATTAAAGGTCAGGAGGTAAGTGTATTTAAGAACTGTGCCTACAAATTTATAGGCGCCAGAATGATCAATACATTGATCGTGGGTCCTCAAAATGTAGATAAAGAAGAAGTAGCAACGTAAGTTATAGTTCTTTTTACGTAAAATTTACTTTATTAAAAAATTTCTTTCCTGGTATTCAAATTTGCAAATCTGTCAATCACTTGATCAAATTGAATATCCTTCACCGTATCACTTTCAACTGATAGTAGAGCCAAATCAGAAAGCCTTCACTATCCCCATGGTGGATCGTAAATAGGTCTTGATAAGCCTTAGTTTTGAAAAGCTCCGCTCACATGAAGCCACAGGCATACAGATCATAAGACAATTAAAGGCTTAGCGAGAGTATTGGAAGAGATTCTAGGAAATCCCATCAAATACTGACCAGTTCTTGAATTTTTGAAATTCCATATCAGCTGCCTTTAGTGTCTTCTAAGCCTAAGTATTTCTGTTAAAAGTTCACCCTCTGATAATTCATTATTGAAAGAGGTTAATTTTGGAACGGACTCCAATAACTCTTTTTCACTTGCTGATAGTAGACTCTTGAGTTGAACAGCCCCAAACATATCTGCTACTTCCTTGCTCACTGATCTGGAGTTCAGAATGAAAGCGAGCAATGCACACAAGCATCTCTCTTCTCTTTTTTTTTTTCTCGCAGAGAGGGTCCAGCATCTATTAATTGTTCTCCTTTCATTCTCTTCTTAAACATTTGTTTTCTCTCTAACGAAATTCCATATGGATCTGATTTTTAAAAAAGCCTACATTTTCAATAGCATGTTCCACAAAGTGAAAGCGCTTCTCGTGCAGAAACAATCTTAAGGCCTCTAGGTTGGTCCCCATTTTGTCCAGAGTAAAGTCTGCAGATGCTTCTGTGTAAGATTAACTTCCTCGTGTAGATCATCCCAAAGGTAAAGGTACAGATAAACGTGAAATCACAGACATCATGTAAAAGACCATGTGCTGTATGACAATCATGCTCAAATTTTTAAGAGGCGGTGCCAGTAACTATTGGGCGAAAATATTTATTTTTTATTTTCTGTGTTTCAATATATTTGGTTTAAAAAAAATGTTTAAAAAAAATTAAATTAATTTAAATTATTTTTATAAAATGATATACAATTTTGTAAAATATTATTTTTTTTTTAACCCTATAAATGAATAAAAAGTCATGTTTTAATATTTTTAATTTTTACCGATTGATTCATATAGCCTACTTAGAATCGCCCGACCACATCGTACTTGGTATCAATGGAAAGCTTTATTTCTTAGAATTGAGTTCGGTTATTCTTTTATGAAATTAGTTTAGACCGAGCATTGTATGCTCTGTAAATATGCAATTTTTCAATTTGGTGCCACCCTTGAGATGGTGTCACCAGGTGCTGTCCGCACTCCCCTAGCGACGCCACTTGTTATATGATCAGGGCCTCATACCCACACCCAGAGAGAGAGAGAGAGAGAGAGAGAGAGAGGGGGGGGAGAGGAGAGAGAGAGTACGAAAAGTGTAAAGCCTTCAAGTCAATGTAGTTAGCCATTAGCCAAGAGTCAAGGTACTTTTTCGCCTGACTTAGTGTTTTATTTTTTACTCTCAATCTTTTTCTCCAAATTCCTCAAAGTTGAAGACTTTCTTGTTGGACTGTTGTGCTTAAGTTTGTCACATTTGTGATTGTCATTCATTAATTATAACTAAGGGGGAAACACAGTCAAACTTTTCTAAATTAATACTATACTCAGTTAATGATAAATTTAGGTGACATTTTCGTATTTTGATTCAGCATATGATAGCAATTAGATAAGTTAATGCAACATTCTACAAAATAGTATTTTGATGATTAAATAAATATGAAGAAATGAGTTTAATGAGCGTGGGAACGCATTGCAATACAACAGTTTGTTTTGTTATTGATATAAAAATCCTATTTTTTAGAACTGTAATCCGGATCCGGGACAGCAATTGGAGAACTTCGGCTACTCATTTAGATTCATTCTTGGATTTTGTCGCGCTGTTCTTCTTATTGGATTTAGATAATCTGCTAAGAGTGGAGATTTGGAGTTAAATTAAAACATTTTAAATCAGAAACAAGTAGTATAATTTAATCAGCAAGCTATGTCACCCAGAATTAAACTGTGAAAGTGGAGGACATTTATTTGTCAAGCAAGGTTTAATTTGATACCTCATTTAATCATTTACGATTAACTCCCCTTACTTCTGATATATAGCCTATATAATGAATAATAATAGTAGTCTAATTGATAATAATAATTGGTATTTCTGCCATTCTATATTTACTATGGTCTATGCCGTATTGATCTCAAATTTAGTAAATACACTACAGTAAATTTAATAATGGAGCAGTTAAATTTTTAATTGAGCATTATTGGGGGGGAGACTCATGAGACTGCAATCGTTCAAAGCAGGGAGTTAGTGTTAATGATAATGTTATAGTATAGTATAATTATAGTCAGTGTTACTACTAGATGGAAGAATAGGTACTTCAGTTTTAAAAATAAAATAAAATATTACAGTTGTATAGAGCAAATTTAAAATAGAAAAATGAAAACAGAATCAACTTTCTAGCTTTAACTTTAGAACTTTTTGAGTCATGAATTTTTAAAGGAAAGTGTCTAAGTGTCTATATTGGTAGTTAACTACCAATAGCTTCTAGGGAGCTATTTGTAGTAAACTACCAATAGCTTCTAGAGAGCTATTGGTAGTCCAACTAATCAAATCAACCAAATTCGGAGCTTTAAAAACCAGCTTTCAATGACAAAGGCGAAGCATTGACCCATTTTTATTACTAGTTCATACTAGTGACAAAATCTTGGCACTAGTTATAAAATCTACAGTACCGTTTTCACCCTGTCTGCTGTACCTTTCCTCATGCTCAGATTTAGCAATATTACTATATAATTATAATTTATAATAATATAGGTAGATGAATGAGAATTATTAAGTTATTAACTGGGGGGAAAGTTTCGAAAGTCGAAAGGGATCCTAGTCTTAAAGAATGTTTCCCAGCTTCTTTTTTGCAAAGACCAAAGTAATATGTGCAGGAAAAATAATAAAATAATTTATAAAATTCAGCTGTAAAATTTTTGTGTGTGCTAATTATTATAATAAAATTATAAATTAAAATATAATCCTGAATATGTCTATAATTACCATAAGAATAGTTTTACTGCATACAAAGTGTGCATGATAAAATAATGAGTTAATTGAAACTGTATAATAATGTGATTAGGCTTAAAGATGATAACATAAGCTTAGGCCAATCTTTGATTAGGAACAAGGCTTATAAGGTCACGTGACTTACACCCCCCCACTCCCTTTTTGATATTTTCTGCTGGGAGGTAGGTCTACAGAGTTTACTATTATTTACTTATTTACACAAGTGAGCCCTCGTTAAATTATAAAGGCGTCAATATTTTTATGTGCGCAATTAAACATTTTCATTGGGTATATTGTGCTTCTATAACACACATTAATTTAAAGTCTGGGAATCACTTTTTACTATTTATTTTTTAAGGTGATGCAGAATCAAAGTTTTAAAGCTGCAAATAATCCGATGAAAACATAGGCTTTGCAGCGATACATAAAATAAAATATATGCAAAGAAAGAAAAATAAGTGTATTATGTCTTTAAAATCCTATTGAAGTGAATTTATGCGAGACTAGACAAAAACAATAAATTTTGTCGGCACACTTTTTTTTTTTTACAATATATTTGCATAAAAGTGATTTCAGTGATGTAATTTTAAAAAAATAGTGACTACCAAAACCTAGACTTGGTCTATACTGCACGACATCAATCTATCACTAATTGGTAGTTTTTTGCTACCAATATTGAATAGCCACAGCCTTTTTATAGCGCAACTCGGTTGTAATTTTTACTATAGAACTATGGAGTATGGACTGCACCTCCACATTTTTTTAACCTGACTCCACTGATTGAGTCACATGCAATTACTCATGTTTAAATGATTTATACAACTTTTATTTTGTATATTAATTATTAAAAGTTTCAATTTTATAATTAATTATAAAAGTGACACCATTATTAATCATACAATTATAAATAAATGTAACTTACTTATTAAAGTTACTTTAGTTAATTATTTAGCGATGTAAATTAGTAAATGTAATATGCATTATCAGTAAATTTAATGACTACAATATGCATGTTCTGTTTACCAAGTCTAGCATCGATTATATATAGAGTCTATTTAAGGCTAGGCACCTCAAAAATAATACAGGTTTGGGACAACTTACTTGTAACTTTCAACTTTTGCACATGTATAATTAATTAAAACTTTCCCTGACTAATGATAAAACTTTTTTGCACTGAGCAATCTCTTATTAAGGAAACCTCTGAAAATAATGTGATAGTAGTATAGCACATACAAGTGACTAAATTGTTGCCCATGACAATGTTTTGCTCACAGCAAAGTATGATAATTTATAATGTGGTCTCTACCGGATTTTTAGACCTCAAATTAAATATTCTTGTTAAAATGCCATCCAAGTTCACAAGTTACCCATTTAAAAGCGTGGGGCCTGGTCACATCCAATCAATCGAAGTTTGTCAGAGTGAACGACATACTATACTGCTCAAACATAGAACTATGACCTTTCTCGTAAAACACATGGCACTATGAAAATTGGCACACATGTAGATCAATGTATTCCTGAGAATAAATATGAAAAGGACATATATTTAACTAAATTTAGGTAGTCCAAACTTAAATTAATTATGCATAGCAGCCATTTGTGGTGAGTTTCACCAGATGGAAATTTTTTATCTATGTAAATGGATTTTTATATGTAAATATCTCATTACAAAAAAAAAGGGATTCTCAGTCAAATTTGCTGAAAATTGACTAAAAAATTGATTTTTTTAAAAAATTTAAACAACAGTAATTAATAATTACCTATATTTCTAAAATTATCAACGATGAAGTCCAGGAATTGGTGTATATGCTCCAAAATTTATAATTAAACCTGATTTTTTTTTTCAGGCAGCCAGAACCATTGATTTAAAAGTTTTAAACAAAATAACAAGACTACTTTTTAGTTTTTTTTAAATTTTCCGACAGAAAAGGTAAAAAAAAAAACACACAATGTCAAGAATGCGTAAATAAAATTCATTTACAATAAAATATCATATCAAATGAAAGATAATTTTTAGCAGCACAACATGCACTGTGAATTAATTGCACCAAGAAACATTTACAGGCGCTAAATTAAGTAAAAAATTTACCCACTAAACAGCTTTTTTAGAAAATGAAGGTTAAAAAATTGATATTTAAAAATGCTTTTTATCGTAACTGTATCAAAAGAAAATGATGTCAGATGTGTCTACTCATAACTTATATGTTAATAAAAACCATAATCAATGTTGAGAGTCATGAAAAATAGATAGCAATTGAGCATAAACTTTAATTAAATTGTTTGGGAAATGCCCAATCTCTATCTTGGTAAGCTTCTGTACCTAATTTTTAATATCCTTTTTGGTCTTATTCACCTGGAGCTTGATAATATGCTGTAGCAATAGCAATCTTTAACTCTGGCCAAAAATATTGCACAAAGGTCATCACAGATGGAATAAACAATTAAACTTAGAGCAGAAAATATTGTTTAAATTATGTCATTACTCACTGGTACTCATTAGGATTGGGATTCCACAATTCTTTTTTTAAATGAAAGAAATATGTTTGAATTATTTAAAAAGTGATAGAAATATTTACTTACAAGATGTCAAATATCTGTATCATCATTGTCTTTGCTTTCTGTGCCAGTTTAACACAAGTATGAAATTAAAAATAGTTTGCAATTTCCTCACTAGTCATACGAGGTCGTTTGGTACTCAAAAGAACAGTTAATTTGTAAAAAATTATTGTTAAATAGTAAAATAAATAAGTAATAGGGCTATGTTAACTTTTTTCTTTTTTATTCAAGGATCTAGGTCTAGCATGTTATGTCTAGACTTAAGTCCTAGACACCCCTTAGCCAGCTTTGAAATTGACATTTCTGCTTAATTAACTTCTTAACCTAATCTTTTAATCTTCTCTGGCATTGTTAGTAACACTGCATTGAATACACCCTTTCCAAGTTTAGGTCTATATGTTTAAATGATTTGTAAAACTATTTTATTTAACTTTAACACAATAATAATTATAGCTATATCAGCCTTGGCAGGTGTATTTTTTAGGCACATCTATCAAGAGCTAAAATACATTAACAAAATTATATGCAGGAAGTGAATAAACGATCTCTACCAAACTTTATTTTTTGATCAGTTTATTTAGTTACACCTTTCATTTGTAAAAATATAAGCTGAACATGATTTGTTATTATGTTCTGAAACTCCAATTAAGTTGAATTTTTAAAAATGCTGATTTTGCAATTCTTCAATAAGCAGTTATTGATACAAGTTTGAAAATAGTGAGCTAGCTTAGCTTTATTTATTCACATTATGACAGGAAGGCTGATGTTACTCCCTGAAATGACATGATGGAATCTTCGGGGGGTAAAGACAAGACTCAATCACGGCTGTTGGCTCTGAGTCCTATTGATGTGAAAGATGAACTGGATGAGGTAATAATTATCTGAAACCCTACAGTTTTTTGAAAAGCAAATAATAGGGTACTTTTCTTAAACCTTGCATTTTTTTTTTCAAAAGCAAATAATAGTGTAGTTTACTGAAACCCTCCATTTTTGTCAAAAGCAGAAAATAGGCTAGTATATCCTTGATTTAAAAAAGATTTATATCTTTTATTTATAGCCTAGAAAAAGTATTTTAATACAGTAGAACCGGGTAATGTCGCCGGCCTTGGGGTTTCCCAAAAAGCGTCAAGATAATCGATCGAGATATACGAAAACCAATATGGCGGCAATATATTGTAAAGAAACCGAGTGTCACACCTCGTTCCTCTATCTATTTTATGTGGATGGTTCCCTCGTTCACTCTGTCTCTCGGCAACAATCAGGTAATAACACTTGGATGGTTAGTCTTTGCTCTTTTATTGATCTCCTACTTCGCTTATACTTTCTCTCATCTCGCACTCAACTCTGACTGTCCTCTACTCCTACCCGTTGGAGCTATCCCAGACTTTCTGCTTTCCTGTCCGGCTGAGTTCTCCCTAGTCCTGTCCAACGGTCCCTTTTTATAAGTCACTGGTTTGATCGTTGCGTCACTAGAGATTCCCCCACTTGGCTTTAATCTTTTGCTACATCTTTGGTACTAAAATTTCTTTTAACGCCTCCCTTCGTTTAAATGGACATTAACTGACCGCTGGACTCGCATAACGTTCCTAATAGCCTCGCCATGATGTTATGTGCCAAAGTACAACAATTGGTCAGTTGGTCAGCCTCCACCAGGTTCGGGCTGATACTAAAATTTGTTCCAATGCCCCCCCCCCGTTTTAATGGCCATTAACTAACCCTTGGTCAGTTTCCATACTGTGAAATCCCCTTTACCCCTGTACCACCCAGGTCCACTACCCAGGTCTAAACACTCCATAATATTAACACGTGCTTGAAACTTCTTTATATAAACGATATGCGTTCATAAATTAGCTCCACATGCACATGTTTTTTGGAGGTTTTTTTTTTTACACAGCAGCGTTACCGCGATTTGTTTGGTGAAGCGATCAGCATGCTATAAAAATTTACATACATGTTTTCTAATAAACCAAGGCAAATGTGGGGTGCCACATTTTCGGATTATTCCGTATTCGTGAGGCTAAATATTATTCAGCTCCGGATTCGCGAGTTTTTCTTTTCTTTTGCTCCGGATTCGCCATACGGATTCTGGGTTTTAAAAAAACCCATTAAACCTGTTAGAACATGTGAAAGCCTATTTAGTATTAAGCGACAAGTGGGTTCGCTATAAATAGAACAGGTACTGCGACCCCTCTCTTTTGTTTGCAAGCCTCTCGTTTCTTGCTGTGTCAAGTTAATTGCGCAGACAACGATATTGGTCATTTTATTTCAATTACTACAGTTTAAGTAGGCATGTTTCTGTTGTATATAATTTTCAAAAGCCGACAATTTGTCATAGGGATTGAGATAACCGAGGCTAAGTGACAAATTTGTGCTCGAGATATCAGGGTTCTGCGACATAGAAGAATTGACATAACCGAGAAGAAAATGCTAAGACAAAGAGAGAATTTGGCGGTTCCACTTCAAAAACGTCGACATAACAAGATTGGCGAGTTAACCAAGGTCGAGATAAGTGGGTTAGACGGTACTTCTAAATGAGATCTCATTTACACTCTAGAAAAGCTCATTTAGAATGATTAGATATCAACTTTGTGTTCAATTATGAAAAGGGTTATTTTTATTCAGAATGTCATACTTATTATTTGTATGTGACTTTACGATTTCTATGTTATTTCTCTAGAAATTGGAAAGATGCAACAGCATTATCTCTGGGCTTACAGCAGGTGGTAATGAAAGAGAAATCAATGATGCCTTAAATGCTTATGTAAGTATCTGGTGAAAAGCAATGTAAAAAAAAATTGAATAAAGTAGGAAAATAAGGGATTTTTTGAAGATCCTGATGTACAGACATATCTTAGGTATTATACTTAGGGTTAAGGCAGCAACAAATTTATAGGTCAATTGCAAAAATGAATTTGGAATGCCTTAGAGAATGTTCTTAGGTGGACAAAAAATAGCTTAACCTTAATGGAAATAGCTTAGAAATGATTAAATACTAAGAATATGGACTCGGTTTTTTTTTTTCAGTATTAAAAATTGTGTTCCTATGTAAAATCTTTACTGTTTTCAGTTACTTTTTCTTATCTTAAATAAGAAAACAGCCTTTTATTCTACAATGAACGAAATAATATAGTGAACTGAATGATCAACACAATTGATGGACTGCAGTATGGGCCTAAAAGTCATAACATTTATGACCATTATGGAAGTCAACACTAACATCTCTGTTACCTGTTTTTAAATGATTGAACTAAGTGACACAATCTGATTCATTAGTGAAATAAGTAGAAAGGAAAAATCTCTTATAATTTTTTTAACCATTTGGTGCGAGACATTTGATAAAAGAGATATTGTAATTTTTAGGTTGCAAAAAGCAATCAGCAGCATGATGAAGTCCAGATGGGCCTACTCTATTCCATTCTTACTGACACAAAAATGCAGGTCAAGGTAAATAGTTTTATTGTCTTTAAGATTTATTTTAATATAATTATTAACTATCAATATTATTAAGAGCTGTTATTGTGAGTATTATTAATATTTTTTTAAGTTCAAGGATTTATTCACTATGTTCTGATTAAGGATGTTAAACGATGACTGGCATTCTGGTAATTGGTATAGAAATTGATTTTTAAAAAGCAATAATCAATCATTTTTATGTTTCTCAAAGATTTAAAAAAAAAAAATTCCAAACTTTTAAAAATAATTGTTTTGTAAATAAACGACTTTAAAAAGTAATAAACAATTAATATAACGTGTAAAACTGGTAAATGCCTTGCTTTTCTAACTGTACCAAACGTTTCCAAAACAACTAGTTGACTGCCACTTGGAATGAAGTATGTGGTTGCCTTGTTTTTCCAGGCAGGTATTCTGCTAGAGGCATAAATATCAATTAATAAGTTTGCACAAGTGCAGATTGCATTATCACAAATTGATCACTTGTTATAAAATATATCCAATCCTGGTACAAAACTTTATCAAAATGAGTTGCTTTTACTGTTCTAAAAATAGATTTCAACGGTAGCTTTCGTTCTTATAAAATAATAATATGTTAATCAGACCTTTTCACGTGGAACAGTTGTGGATGCATTGTAAAAATCAATAACCAATTTGCCAAATAAACGATATTAACATCCCCAGTTAGGATTTTTAAAAAATTTCTCATGAATTGCTAAATAAATTTTTTTTTAATAACATTTCATTCACTTCAATGAATAGTTCAGAAGATTTTAAATGCTAATGTGTTTTTAACAAAAATTTCATCTATGAAGAGTTTCCGGGAATTGAACTTGGTGGTTAGGGATGGACTTACTTGTCTTCTGACTAAAGTCAACCAAATTGTTTATGAAAAGTGGCTGAAACTTCTTGACTCAACCAAGGCTCAGGTAATGTAAATAGTTGTCCCTTGGGAATCATTTGGTCTTATATAAAATGATGTGTGAAATTTGTTGTTTTAAAAGATCTGCACCTTTTATTTAAAAAAAAAAAATAACAAAAAACTTTGGACATTGTTACAAAAATCTTATACATCTAATGTTATTTATTCTGATAACCTCAGATGCTATGGCTGTGCAGAGAGCTGGTAAAGATGAATGCTCAGGGAGCAGACAGTGTTTGTATTGGCATTCTCAGGCAGATAGTTGGTAAGTTTGAGAGCAGACGGTGTTTGTATTGGCATTCTCTGGCAGATAGTTGGTAAGTTTGGGAGCAGACAGTGTTTGTATTTGCATTCTCAGATAATTGGTAAGTTTTCAATGTCAAGCATTTTTTTTTCAATTTAAAATTTCAATTCTTAAGTACCGATATAAAGCTTAATTAGAACATTGGTACATTTACTATTAAAAAACAATTGTATTTATATTATTGGTCGATTTTTCAGGAGGTGATATCTCTCAGAGGAATATATGGTTAGCAGAGAGCATGTTGGATCTTTTTCTGGATAATAAGTAAGACTCATTTGCAAGCCCCCGAGTTGCAAACAGTAGAAATTATGAACGTTTTCTATTTAACTATTTTAGGCTTAAAATGAAGAATTCATTTTGTCTTTATAAATAACTTCTTTGTATGCTATGCAAAAATGCAAGTGGAAGTTTTTTTTAGCAAGGATCAGTTAGAAGTTTGTTTTTTTTTTGCAATTTTTAATTTAGACCATTCCTTGCCAAAAATGTTTCCTTGATGGCAACAGCTGTGTACACATATTTGAGGATCATTGTTGATCATGGGGCATCAATGCTCACTACCCTTCGACAAAAAGAGGTGGAAATATGCATTCATCTTTTAAGGACTCATGTAAGTTATGCTAAGTCTTTTAAAACTACCTGAACATTTACACTAAATCTTTAAACCAATTATTTGATTTATCATAATAACACAGAGGAATTTATGAGGGATTTGCTGTGAAATCCTTATAAGATCACTTAAAAATATATATAATTAATTATTAAAATAAATAACGGCTTTAAACATTTTTTATTTCCAGTGGCAAGATTGCATGCAGATAGGCAGAGATCTTATTCGATTGTTGCAAAATGTGGCTAGAATTCCAGAGTTTGATGCATTATGGAAGGATATTTTATTAAATCCAACAGTTTTGTCGCCCACTTTTACAGGTAGAATTTACTTAAGCTTCTTGATTATTTGCTCATATATAAATATAATTTTAATAAAAAAAATTATTGCCAAATTATTAACCATGAGGACCTGATACTTATAAGTTTCTCTAAATATAATTAAATTTTTTTGCTCTTTAGGTGTTGCTCAGCTGCTTCAAATACGAACATCAAGAAAATTTTTGGTCGGAAGACTTACTCCCGATATGGAAAATAAACTAATATTTCTTATAACTAAGGTATTCAATTTATTTAACTGCTTTAAACAAAATTGTTAGATAGTCATAAATTAAATTAATGTTTCTCGTTAAGAAAGAAAAGTTAAATAATTCATCCACTATCAGCTATGGATGCACCAAATATGCAACACTTCCGTGATTGGCTGTCTAAATAAAAAATGTGTCTACACTAACAAAATGTAAAGGAAATCCGACTCAATAAAAGAAGTAAGATGGCATCAGATGATTGTGGGTTCGTCTGGTGTTCTGTAACGACCAGTTTGAAATCAGTTGTTGTAACTCTATTGTAAGATCAAATAATTGTGTTTCTAAATGCGAAAAGTTTATATAATTTTTATTGAATTTGGGGCAAATAGTAAACAGCCTCTGTATCCTGCTGATTAAAAGATATGTTGGTAGCAGCTTATGTCATATAATTTTGAAGTCTTCTCTATTAAAATTATGAACTAGAAAGAATAAACCGTTTCTTACAATATGAAGAGGAATATTCTCCTGAATATATATATGGACAATGGCAAACTATAAGGGATATTTTTATAAGGGATTTGTATATATCGTGAGCCTCTGACTACAATATATTTTAAGTACAACTTTTTTTATACCTGTTTTTCTAAATTGCCCCCCTTTTTTTTTTTTTAAATTTGTACACTAGGAACAACCATTTGTACCTTAACTCTTTTGCTGCGGAATTTTTTATCGAAAAAAATTTACATTTTTTTCAAAGAGCGAAAAAGAGTGAGAGGTTGGGTTTATTAGGAAATATTTAAAATATAATTATTTGGTTTATAAGACTAAACTTGGTATCAAATAAAATATAAATGAAAGGAATCTATGTTTGTAAGCTTATTTCTTCAGTTTAAATAAAATAAGTTGCCGAAAAGAACCATAAAATGAAATAATAAACCATTTTTCCCCCAAACCCTATGATGTATGAATACCTCATCTTCATTTCTATAACTAAAATCCTCTATAACTACTACTATCGGAATCATGTGATGGATCTAAATATAAATCATCTTCACTATCAAAAGAAATAGTATAAAACAATTCCAAAGATTTTTGAGCTGTTAATCATCTAGGAAACTTACTCACCTACTAGGACCTAGAGTAGCCATAGCAACAGTAGAAAAAAAAAGTGAAAGAAATCATTAAAATAATGCTATGATATGTCTTGCTATACATTATTTGATGTGCATTTTTTTCGTACAGGTTCGCTTTGGAACACAGAAGCGTTATCAAGATTGGTTTCAAAGACAGGTATTTTAAATCAAAGATTAAAAAGCAAATATTAACATTCATTCAGTTTTAGATAAACGCCACAATAATTTAAAAAAAGATTAAATAAATATTTTATTTTAAAATTATTTGTTAGTAATCATGTTACAACTGGATCCAAGTCCCTCATACCAAAAGATTATTACAATTATAACAGGTAACAAGATTTTTATGTAAATTGACATGTTATATAATCTTTTACAGTATCTGTCTACTCCTGAGAGCCAATCTCTTCGTTGTGATCTGATTAGATACATCTGTGCAGTTTTTCATCCATCAAATGAACTTTTATGTTCAGACATCATACCCCGGTGGGCTGTCATAGGTTGGCTTCTTACCACGTGCACTGTAAGGAAAGATAAAGCTTCTTTTGAAGTTTTTAAAGGTCTTCCTAATGCAAAATATTAATTTCCTTTTTTGTATGTAGTGTTAAACCAAATTCTCTTTAGATTAGATTATTATTTTCAAATATTTAGGAAATATAAGCATATCATTTAAATTTTTAAAATTTTATTGAGCTTTTGCAAGTAGAGTTTGATAGATCTTTTTCTTTTTTTTTTAAACCAGTCTAATGTAGCAGCATCTGATGCTAAACTAGCTCTGTTTTATGACTGGCTTTTCTTTGACCCTGAAAGAGACAGTATTATGAATATAGGTAAGGATTAGTTTAATTTAATTTTGATTTATTTCTCTTCTTTATTTTATACAGGATAATTTAATTTTTCTATACTTAACTAGTGAATTGGGCGTTAACATTTCTTTCATGGATAAGGAGTATAATCCATAGAAACATGCCTCTAATCCATAATTTGTGCCATTCCCAGAATAACAAGCTATTTAATTACTTGTACTAATGAATAAAGAAAATGAGCTGTATTTCAAAAGACAATATTTTTACAAAAATTTGCCATGGTCTCAAAATTTAATTAGTTATATTTTGATATCTAAGCTTTTCTAACTGTAATCGAGCAATACAAATTTTCATGCTTGGATTTTATACAATTGAAATACTCAAATCAGATGGCTGCATGCATTCCACAATTTATATCAAATGGTTTCAAGTTCTTATGGCTTCTGTATTTTGAAAGTTTTAAAACGCCAATTAAAATATAATACATGTGGCACCAAAAAAAGATTTAATTTATTATTTTGGCAGATTTTTAACTTGTACCATGCGCTTTAAATTCTATAGGACTTAACTTAATTTAGACATGGGATACAATTTATCATTGTTCATTAATTATTTTTTTTAAATGAGTACCGAGTACCAGTTGTGCTAATTTTTAAAATCCTTTTTTAAAAAACAAATTTAGAACCAGCAGTGCTGGTGATGTTTCATTCTATGCGGCCACATCCAGCCATCACTGCAACCTTATTGGATTTCATGTGCAGGGTAAGCAAAATAACATATATTTTTTTAAATATTGGCCAACCTATTCCTCTTTCGGTCAACAGTCATCCATGATTTGCTTTTCTAAAATCAATTCAGCACTGAAATTTATTGCGGTTTTATTAATTTTTTCCTTTTTTTTTGTTGGTTTTTTTGTTACTGCTTGCTAATACAGTAATACTAATCAAAGCAATTTGACTAAAGATATTGTTCTTGTTTTGTAGCTTGGAGGCTGGCAAACCAATGACTTCTGAAAAAGTGCTAATGCTAACAAATCTTTCATTGTTATCAACTATAAAAATAAATAAGCCTAATTTGTGGGAAATGCTTAGAAAAATACAACTCATATGCTTTTCTGTAACAGCTATAAACTATATTGTATAAATGAAGAAAAAGTTATTATCAAGCAGTTATTATCATACTCAATAAAGTCTAAAAATTGCTATTTATCTATAATATTTCTGGAAAAAAAAAGGTTGTTATTGCTATCATATGGAAATGAAAAACCTGTGAGAAAACATTCAGAAAGGTTGAGTTTTTATAAAGAAATCTCATATATTGTATATTAATCTTAATTTTCTTAAAAAGTACTTCTTTATATTTCAGATTATGAACAACTTCAGTCCATCCCACATGTCACAGATTCGAAATAGCATTTTCACAGCTCTACGAACTATTCTTGAAAAACGTGTATTACCGTTAGTAAAGTATTTTTTCATACAAACATTAGTGTGACATAAAATCATGAAATAAGAAAACATTTGTCAGAACAGCAAATTCAATCATGCTAACAAGTCAGCAATTTTGATTTTATAAGTTAGACTTCTTTGTTATAGTTTTTTAAAATAACGAGATGATGATACAATGAAAGTATTGTGTCTAAATTTATTATTATGACAAATGCTTGTATAAAAATATTAAATATTAATTAATACATAATACTGACATAATCCTACTTTAATTACAGTTCTCTTTCACCATTGTTTGACAATCCTAAGTTGGATAAAGACCTTAGGAATCTGTTACGAGAGCACTTTACAGAGTTTTGCAGTCAAGAAGGTAGTAATTGTTGTAAGAATATATCAAGAATTACAAGAGCACCTAGTGAAATAATTAGCTTGTCTGATAGAGAAGAAAAGGACAGTGAAGATGAGAATTGGAATAGGAAAGGTATCTTAAACAATGTTAGGTTGTTATGTTGTATTGAGTATTCCATTCTTATTAAAACCTTTATTCTTGAAATGAACTGTTATTAGAAACAATTTTTAACCAATATCCCTACCTCTTATAGAGACAAAAGTTTATATTTAGCTTACATGGACAAGATACTTCACGATTTCAAAGTTTGGCAAATCCTTGTAGCATCTTATTGTGAAATAGGTTATATCAAAATCAATATATATATATATATATAACAATTTGTAGTATTTGCACAGATTCATAATAAAAATCTGAAAAATAACATCCAATAATTGTTTCTAAATTTTACTAAATTGGTTAAAGTGTTGAACATTTTTATTTCAATTGCCAATCTGGCCAATTAAAAAAAACACAATTTTTTCACAACTAAGAAGTGTTTTTAAGAGGGAAAGGTTTTTGTTGTTTCTGTTTTGGTTTAATTTAGTGTTGAAAACATCTTTACTTTTAGATTTATGCTACCGCTAATTTTTTTTTTTTTAGAAAGAATTTATTGAGCTTTTTATTGTTATTTTAAAAAATATTATAAATAATTGAGATAGTTGGAAGCTTCAAATGAAACAAGTATTCTTGGGTTTTAATGAATGAGTTTAATGAAAACAACTTTTTTAGTAACTTTCATCTATCAATTTAAGTGCTTAAGAAAATCTTGAATAATAAAATGAAAATGTAATTGATGCCATTTTTCCTATTATGTTGGAAATGTTTTTATTTTCACTTGAATTTTTGTCCAACTTGTTATTCTAGTAAAGGATGAATCCCTGCCTAAAGATGAACTGGACATGGACACAGGGAACAACCACATAGGGGAGAACAATCTTTCTGATGCTTGCTTCAGTGATGATGAGGAAGATAATGTTCCCTTAGGTCTGTACTTTTATTCTGTAAATTTTTTAAGTTTTATACAGCGTTAAAAAAATCATTAGTATATATACGATCTTTCTTGTTTCATATATTTCCTTACCAATAAATATGACACTGTTTCATATTTCCTTAACTATACAAATGCCACTATTTTTTCCCCACTGTAGGTAAATTGAAGGATGAAGTTGGTTTCCGTCCCATTAAAGAGTCAGCAGCCTATGTTCCAGTTGATATTACTGAACACTTAAACCAGCTGAGTGGCCAGATTCATGATCTTACTGTAGAATTGCAGGGGGAAAGGTGAGACTAGGAAAATTTTGAAATAAATAGTTATATGAAAAGAATACATAGCCTTTTTAGGTTAAAAATAACTCATTATATTAATGATATAAATTTTGATAATGTTAAATTCTGATTCAGCGTTTTAGGTGAGAATAATAATTCTGAATAAAAGTTTATTTCCCCTTTAATTAGGAACCAAGAAATGCAATGTGATTTGACTGATAAATTGATGCAAGTTGTAATTCAAGAGGTATATTATTTTCGATTTTGTAAATATAAATAATTGATTATTCAAAAGTAGAGGTTACCTGGAGATTTAATAAATTTTAAAATGTTAATTTCTCTCTATGAGTTCATGTTTTAAATTATGTAAAATGCAATCTAAAAATAAAATCAATTATACCATAGAGGGCTTAATTATTAATAGACAAATTAATTACGCCGCATGAAGCTTCAGCTTAGTAGTTATTTTATTATTAAGAAGTAATAAATCAGTGTACCTGCTGAAATGCTGTGCCTTTATTTTGGGTTGGTTGGGTGGGCAGGGCTAAAAGAGGGTTTTGGTCAACAAATCTCTAACACAAGGGATAAACCATCCAAACCTTGCTACAAATCACTGCCAAATGTAAATTCACATCTTATGTGATTTAGTCTGGAGGAATTAATTAGTGTAAGACTAGTTAGATGTAGATAATTGACTGAGTTGTGATAACAAGTTTCATCTCAATAGGAGGACTTTGATCAAGACCAAGCATCAACGTTGGCCATTTGTTTGTGTCAGATACTCAGTTCTCAGTTCCAAAACAAATTATTTCCACAAGAAATAGATGAAGAGTGAGTAGTTCTAACTTTATTAGAATAAGGCAATTATGATATTTCAATAATTCCCTTACTTTATGAAATGTAATATTTCAACCTATAATACATTTGTTCTTGGTATATGAGATCCAAATACGTACCTAATCTTTTATTATCAACTGCAGTTATGATTTATATCTTTAACAGTGTATATTATTTGTTTTGGAGCCTGTGATGTATGTAACTGCATGAATAAAAGAGCCATTTTAGGTTTAGAATTTTCATTTTAGATTTAGAATTTTCATTTTAGATTTAGAATCTTAATGAATGTATTAAAGATTAGATATTATATAACATTTTTTAAATGGCAGGTCCATAGAAGACTCAATCGGCACGCCTTTATTTGTAATATTCAGGTAAGACTATTTAACCTTTAGCAACATTCATTTTATTTAACAGGGGAATTTAATTAAGATAAATCTTTTGAGCCCTTTTAACCTTATGAATGTAAGCTTTTTTTGTTAAAGCTGTTAGTGTTTTCTTTGAACAGATTTTTGAGTCAAATGTCGGAGGAAGATCCACGAAGACAGCCTGTGTTACAACTTTTAGGGGAAATGTACTTGAAACAGCCTCGGCTTGGATACTTGCTGCTTTACTTTCTAAAAGTCAGGTAACTAATAATGAGATAAAAATATATGTTATTGTTCTGTCATGGTTTATTTATTTTATCTTGCGGATTGATGGTATCAGTTAGAAATAAGTTTTGTGCACCCCTTGATAAATAAATGTTCAGTGTAAATATATTTCTTGAAATGCAAACTCATTTTTGGATACCGTTTTGTTTCAGTAAAGGCAGTGATGAAAAAATGGCAACCTACAAAGATTTTTGTCAAAATCTGGACACTAAAGATTTGAAATCTTGCTTAGTAAATGATCTAAAGGTAAAAGCTTATTTGACACTTTTATTTAAAGCAACTGACCTTGTGGCACTTTTTTGTATATAATACTTGAATATTGTGGTTGGGCGGATAAAGATCTGTTTGAAAATTTATATAGTTTGCAGTATTGACTTAATCTGCTTAAATTGTTTGCTCTAATAAAGTACATTTTTTTATCCTCAGCTGTGTCAGACGGATGATGTAAGATTGTTTACATATCTTATTCCAGACATATATACACATGTAAGTCTAAATACAAATCTTATTCCAGACATATATACGCATGTAAGTTTAAATGCATATCTTATTTCAAACATGTGTTTCAATGTTTATTTTCCTGACGTCAGTGAATGTTGTTTTATCACATGATGCGTTTATCAAATGCATCTTCTCATTGTTAGTCTTGTAACTGTAAGTCTAGTGAAAACAACTTAAGCTGAAACAATGGATTTATTTATGTCCAAATTTAAATATTTTATGGACTGATTAGAGATGCCACATTAAGTTTTATCATTTCTTTTAGTTTAGGGAATATCGTCAGTATAGTCTGATATTTAAAAAAGTACACACCCTTTAAATGAAACAATCTTTTAAACAGTGAGTATCAGGCTTCTCATTTGAAACAGATGTACATATTCCTTCTCCTATAATATATTGAATACTCCTGATATGAGACTCTACATTATTTCATTGCAGTTTCCAAACATTGCTGTTGGCAATGCAACCATTTTAAATTTGATTGTTTCAAGCATAGATGGTTCACAGGTTGGTGAATTATTACTGTGTGTTTCTTTTTATTTAAATCTCATAGCATTTGGTAAACTTTTAACATGTATATTTGAATTTAATTACTCATTATTTTTCAGCTCCAGGATTTGATTTGTCAAATTTTACAAGGTCATTTGTTGATGTTCAAAAACAGAGAAACATTTTTATCAATTCTCAGTAAGTAAAAATATTTCACATTAAAACTTATCTAAATAAAACCCCCATCTTTGAAGTACAAGAGATTTAATGGGCATAAAACTAGAAAAATCTGATTTATTTGCCAGCATTAGACTTAGACTTAGTGTACCAGTATTTAGTGTACTGTACAATATTTAATGATAAGTCAGATTTAGGGACATAATTCATGTTATATATAAGACAAATAGTAAATGCTTTAGCATTTTATCGTAAGACCAAATTTAAATGTTTTGATGAGGATGGCTAAGAAAAGCCAGATAATTGTTTGGACCATGTTGCAGATGCCAGTCTAGACTGGGAAACAATAGAACAGTACTTTTTATGGCAGCTTGTGATGGCACACAACATCCCAGTGGAACACATTCTGCCCATTCTACCAAAACTAGAATACACAGGTAAGTTTTTACTTGAAATCCTGTACAATGATATCATATGTAATCCTGTACAATGATAGCACATATAATCCTGTGCAATGATAGCACATATCTATTAATCAAAATGTTGTTACTCTGTTCATTTAAAATAAAAGCTGACATTTGTGCCTCATTTTATGACTGTGGTATAAATCACTGATCCCCAAATGGTAGTCTGCGGATCAACGCATGAGCATATAAGACGAACAACATGAATAGAATGAATATTCATTCTCCTTTGTGTGCAGCCCTTTCTACAACTGAGCCATGAATTGATCAGCCTATCAATAAAAAGCAGCATGGCACATTGCTCATTAAAGAGTACCTGTTATCTAAATGTTTTTTTCCCCCTCTATTTGCCTTATATTCCCAAATAAAATTAAGTTATAAATATGTCTGAAAACCGCTATTGAAGTTTTTGTTTTAAAACAGCTGGCTTTTAATGATTAGTTGAGTCCTATCAAATGGCTTATTATGGAGTAAATATATTTAAAGACATTTAAGGTCAGATAAAAGTAACAATAATTAATAAATCTGGTACTAGGCCCCAGGTGCAATGGGAAACATTTTCACCTCTCCGTCAACTAAAGTTCGGGAAATGCTGATTTAGATAACAGAACAAGATTTTTAAAAAAAATTCTTACAGCATGTTTCAAAGATTACTTTTTATGTGACGCCTATTTTCTGTCAACAGCCAATGCTGAAGCACTAACAAGTCTTATGGTACTTTTGAAGCAAGTCAGGTAATTATTTATGAAGCACCCAAGAAATATTGGTGTACAGTCATCCTGACCTGGGAAGACTTTTCTAAGAAATTCAAAGCTTAAATGGATGATTATTTGTTTATATGGAGCCTTAATGTGGCCCAGTGCCTTTGTACTGTCACTGGATTTTCCCTTTCTAAAAGTCTCTGTCCTTGATCCACCTCAGAGAAAATGTCAACATTTGACTGCCACACAGTTTGCCTCACATAGTTTGCCTCACACAGTTTGCCTCACATAGTTTGCCATTCAAGATTTATTTAATCATGAATGAAGAAAAAGCCTAACAAAGATTTGTGTTCTGATCGCCACTATTAGTCAAGTTTAAAGATCGTTTGTTAAAATGTGATTATTGAGGGTTGAAGTGAGACTTTTGGCGATAACTTTCTGAAAAATACATCTTCGTCAGGTTGTTAATAACAGTTATGATAACAGTTGTTTTATAGTTTTTATATCTCAAATACTTTGAAATTTTAGTCCTAGCTGGGATATCTTACGGCCAGTCTTGTCAAGGGAGTGCAAGAAAACTGACTACTTCACTGTATCAATACTAAAATACTGGGCCCAAGAACATGAAGACAGATTAGCCGAGCTGATTAACCTCCAGCTGACTAAGCTCAATGGAACGCCAAAGAAAAGACAAAGGTTACTGGCTTTTCAATTTGCACAAATCAGATAATAACACAAAAAAAAGAATTCACATTTTATAGCTTTGATAAATGCTGGAAAAACTTGGAAACGCCAATAAAAAATAAACGTTTTGTCCTTTAGGGCCGGAGGCACAAAAAAGGATCATCCAACTGTAGACCAAATCCTTGCACACCTAGATCACATGCGGCAGGTCTGCAGAAACATATCATGTGAGTTAAGTGTTGTTCTTACTCTTCAAATGCACTTTTCTCCTTTGTTCTATTACTTTGCTCATTTATGTTACATTACTTTGCTCATTTATGTTACCGTACATTACTTTGCTCCTTTATAATTTATATAACTTTGCTCATTAATGTTAAATTACTTTGCTCATTTATGTTACATTTACAATGTTTTTGTTCCTTATCCCTTGCAGTTTTGAACCATGAAAATGTTCAGCATGCCCTTCAGCAAGTTCAGATAACAGCAAGTGAAGCTCAGAAAACCAAGTAAGACAGAGAAAGGCACCATTTGATTTTATTTGTATAAACCTGCCCATTAGTTAGTCGGCATGATGTAAGACTTTTACTAATGATGTTTGTAAAATATTGTTTTTAAAGGGCTGTTGGGTTTTTAAATATAATAAAATTTGAATAAAAATAATGTTAAGTCCTTTATGCTGCCACTAAAGTGTTGCTTGGTAATCTAATAGTTTTGAAATATAATCATGTGAAGCAAAAACATGATATAAAATTGTCAATTAACCCAAACAGTTTAAATTTGATGTAAGATTTCAAATATTTTTCTTCTACAGATATAGTGATCTACTTGCATTAGCTGAGGATATTGATGAGTTGAAGACAGTTCGTGTTTTGAGGGGGAGAAAAGCATCAAATGCCAGTGGCTTGAGTCCGAAATATTCAAAAAGCAAAAAATCAGCGGAGAGTGACAGTGGAAGTGACACTTCAGATGTAAGCTTTGAATTCATTTTAGTTCAGTTTCATTTTTAGAAAAGGGCTCTTTCTTAATACAAATGATGAGTCAAGTGCAAAATATACTTTATAAAAACAACTGTGTTGACAGATGATTTTAAATTTGAAAGAATTAATATTGTGATATAATTTAATTTTTTTCAGGATGAAATCAAACCCCAGACGAAAAAAAGGAAAAAACTTGTCACTAGTGTGGATGATGAAAGTGACTAATCAGCCCTGATTCAGGAATGTACAAACTTCATCACAATATATTGCCCCCCTTTATCATCCAAATATGCCTCATGCTGTACAAGTTTTCATCATTTTCATGTACATTGCCATAAAACTTATTCATAGACCATAGATCTTAAAAATTAATGTTTTTACTCTATTTTTAGCCTTTGTTAAGGTGGATATGTTTTCATAATATGTATGGTTCAACAAAATGTGATGACAAATGCCTGTTACAATATGTCATTTTTTTTGGAATACCAAATAATGTCATTACAAATGTGTAATAAAGTAATTTTGAAAATAATTTAATTTGACTTCATTGCGTAAATAGTTTTTAAAAAAAAAAAAAAATTGTAAAACTTTTCAAAATTTTATTCTTTAAAACCAATTTAACACAAGAAAAAAAAATGATAATGATAAAGGTTTAAAAATAGGAGGCATGCACATAAGCTGAGAGAATTTAAATATAAGTCTTATCTTTGGGGAAGGGAAGCGAGAAAAATCTGCATTACCATAAAAATCCTAATCAATATGTGCCACTACATGCTAGTAATTATGTTCAGTGCAGAGGTGTAGCAGTATATTAATGAATAATTTTAAACCTGAACTGCTTATTTGAGAGGTTTAATTGCAAAGTAGTGTTATTGTGACACCCTTAAATTATCCAGGAAAAAAATACATTACAGGTTTGAAATTAAGAAACATTAACTAGTCTAGTAGTGATGTGGCCTTGTATATTTGTGCTTTTTGACTATTTGTCCAATATCCTCATAAGACCATGAAAGTTGAAAATATTGCCATTACATTTAATTCTGACTCAAACTGAAATTTTGCCCTTAATGCTTCTGCACACAAATTTAAGATATTGTCTGCCCATATCTGGTTTGGTTATTTAATGTTCAGTGTGTAGTGGAGATTTTAATGTTCAAGGTCAAGTTGGGCTCCAACCTTGTTTTGCTAAAATGTATTATATTTCATAAAAACTCAACTTGTATTCTAAAACCCTATTTTAATGATTTAATATTTAAATAAATGCAGCAAACATGATCAATGACAACCACAAATGTTTATGTCTCATGACAAAATTATTTCCACAACACAAATTGAAACATCTGCTCCATTGCACCAAGCAAGATCTCTTGAATTGATAATATTTGTACAATTAAATCATTAAAATTTACATTTCTTGATTAGAGGGAATTTATTTTACAAGACTTTTAATGGATATAGCATTTTAATAAATTAGTATGACTACTTATTAAAATATATGGACAGTTCAGATAAAATGCAAGCCTCTACTTCTGGATAAGAGTTATACTGTTGCTCTCCTCTTAATTTTAAGTTCTTTCATGCTACTAAAGTTTTGGGGAACCAAAATCATTTAGAATTCTCATGAAACTTTCTGCATACTTTATAAAAGTTTAATAATTGTGACTGGAGGTGATGTTGCTTAAAATCATTTTAATTCGGTTAGTCAAATAAAAAAGGAACTTTTCCTCAGTTATCTTGGACACATGCACTGAAATTATAAATATATTTCAATTAGTTCTACAAACAATCTTCTTATATTTGATGTGTTTAAAAATGTCAATTTTTTCGTTTAGTTCTAAAAACAATCTTCTTATATTTGAGATATTTATGACATGGGTAAAAGATGAAATGAACAAGGTGATATTGGCTTCACAGCAGTTGATAACCAGATGAATACTAGCTTCAATTTTCCTCGTCTTCCATTAATGAAGCAAGATTAGCAATGGTAACAGATTTGACATTAGGACAGTTGGTCTCTATGATGTCAACTGACTGTGGGTGAACCCTGGTACAATCCAAGTTCAACATCAGTAGGTTAGGCAGCCTCAGGTTGACAATTCCTGGAATAGGCAGGAAATATCCCAATGATAGGAAATCCAAAAATAAATAAATTATAAGAGCTATATAAGAGCTAATGTGAAATACAAGGGAGTATAAACAGAGGTGGGATCAACAACACAAAAAGTAAAATCTCAGGTACATAATACAATTTAATTGTTGGTTATATACCAAACTATTTTATTTGCTAATCATTTGGTCAAACAAATAAATGTCATTTACCTTTGTCTCCAATGATTGTCCTACTCAAGTTCAATTTAGTTAGGTTAATACATTGGTTCAGTGAGCCCTGTTTCAGCAAGTCACTTGTGACACTGTCAATGAAGAGAAATGAAAATCATGCAACTTTAACAAACAATTATGATCAATATCACATAAAAAAATAATAATAATGGCATACTTTTTTTTTCTTTCCAACCCCATTTATCCCTAAAACATTTTATCTAAATTTTGCAAGTAAGCAAGCTTAAGTGTCATTCCCACATTAACTGGTCTCACCTTGTGGCTGAAAGACTAAGCTCATTCAAGTTTTTGAAATCTGTTGAGGTTTAATGGAAAGATAATTACTATTTAATGTTGACTAACAATCTTATAGCATGAACATTTTAAAGTGGAGACAGTTATTGTTGACATGAATTGTTTATAAACTAAAAGGTGAGAGACTCAACACTTACAGACGACTACAGCAGCACCAGCGTTGGATACCAATGTTCTGTCCAAGAATAAAACTTCAAGATTTACAAGGCCTGTATTAAATACAAAAAAATTTGAAAAAATTACATTTTCCTAAAACATTATTTGTACCTCGCTGGAGTGAAAAAACTGGCAGCAAACTTTATAACTACCAATAGATACTTTATGACAAAAAAACAAACAAATTTTGATCCTTAAATAAACTAGAGAAAATATAATCACTCTAACATTAAAGGTTGTTTAGAAAGCATCTAATCACTTAGGAAGTGAAGAAACATCAATTGTTAGGAATGACATGAATTAAAAGTAATTTTATAAAAAAAAGTAAACAATTCTTTTTGAGTTGTTTTATTGCAATCACCTTGATTGAATTATGAGAATGCATTAACTAAGGGGCCATCTCAGTTAATAGGGACTAAGAGGATGTTGTAGATTTTGAGCAAGCCTGCGTGGAGGGGGGTGTCTCGGCAAAATGTACATTCATTTATTACAAAATTCTGCAATAATTATCAGGAAATTCGGACAGTCTATAGCTAGCGTAATCAGGCTATAAAAATATAATGCAATATTTTATAAGAGTTAATGTCAAAATATTGCGTTTTGTGATTTTACAAGTGAATTCACTAGACATTGCTCTAGTAGTACTCAGTAGTAGTAGTAGTAGTAATAATAGTAGTAACAGTAATATTTAGTACACATAGGTTCCACTTCTTGCCAAATTTAGTTTTTCACCAGGCGCCCTGTTTTAAATTATAAGTTCAATTTGAAAACATAAAATAAGGGGATGGGCACAAATTGATAAAGACCCGTTAGATGTCACATTGGATTAAAGGATGAAACAGAATTATGAAAATTGTGCAATATTTGGCCCCTAAGAAGAAGCCACAGCAACCTAAGGTAAGGCCGTGCCTAGCTGTGCCCAGGGTGAAGATTTAAAGTGGCACTCCTCAATATAGAGAAAAAAAAAAGCCACCTGGAGTCGACCGGTAAAAACACCATTTTTGGCACCCTTAGCCTTCTTGAAGAACATGGGATTTTATAGTTTAAATCAGAAGAACATGAGATTTTATAGTTTAAATCAGAAGAACATGGGATTTTATAGTTTAAATCAGAAGAACGTGGGATTTTATAGTTTAAATCAGAAGAACATGGGATTTTATAGTTTAAATCAGAAGAACATGGGATTTTATAGTTTAAATCAGAAGAACATGAGATTTTATAGTTTAAATCAGAGGAACGTAGGATTTTATAGTTTAAATCAGAAGAACATGGGATTTTATAGTTTAAATCAGAGGAACGTAGGATTTTATAGTTTAAATCAGAAGAACATGGGATTTTATAGTTTAAATCAGAAGAACATGGGATTTTATAGTTTAAATCAGAAGAACGTGGGATTTTATAGTTTAAATCAGAAGAACATGGGATTTTGTAGTTTAAATCAGAAGAACATGGGATTTTATAGTTTAAATCAGAAGAACATGGGATTTTATAGTTTAAATCAGAAGAACATGGGATTTTATAGTTTAAATCAGAAGAATGTAGGATTTTATAGTTTAAATCAGAAGAACATGGGATTTTATAATTTAAATCAGAAGAACGTTTGATTTTATAGTTTAAATCCAGAAGAACATGGGATTTTATAGTTTAAATCAGAAGAACATGAGATTTTATAGTTTAAATCAGAAGAACATGGGATTTTATAATTTTAATCAGAAGAACATGGGATTTTATAATTTAAATCAGAAGAACATGGGATTTTATAATTTTAATCAGAAGAACATGGTATTTTATAGTTTAAATCAGAAGAACATGAGATTTTAAGTTTAAACCACAATTAAGGTCCTATCTAAAGATGTTTTGCGTATCCATTTAATGTATGGCCCCTAAAATGCTTATTCAAATTCTATGATGAATCTAAATAAAAAAAATAAAATACCTGAAAGATGCTGCATGCCTTCATCAGAAATTTTTGTATTTGTCAGGACCAGCTTTTTTAAACTGTGAAAAGTACATTCTAAAATTAAAAGATGAAGGAGTTTTGTTTTATAATATAATTCTGTTACACTAAGTAAGGCTGTTAAAGAAAAGTAAGTCCAAAATTTAAAAAATTTGTATTTGTTTTCATCATGAACTTTCTGCAGTGTAGTCTGACCTGACAATTTTCCCAATATGCATCATACCAGAATCTCCAACATTGGTATAGTTTGTCAAATCTAAGGCACTTAAATGAAAACCTAGAGATGAAAGAAAAGGACATTAAAATCACAATGTCATGGCTGCTATCAAATTGTATGGCAAAGAAATAACTTGTGCAGAAATTTTTTAAACAATACATTGCCACAAGTAATTTATTTGTCTGTGTACCAATATTAAAATTGCATAGAAAATATAGAGGCTTATGACACTCTAACACTGTGACAGCTGATTTTTATGGCACTCAATGGACCAACAGTTGGGAAATATAAAATTTGAACATTTCACTGCTTTCCTAGAGGGTATCAAAAAGTTTAAATCATTCCAAGACTTGGCCCATAGTGTCAATATAAACACATCATTCCAAGACTTGGCCCATAGTGTCAATATAAACACATCATTCCAAGACTTGGCCCATAGTGTCAATATAAACACATCATTCCAAGACTTGGCCCATAGTGTCAATATAAACACATCATTCCAAGACTTGGCCCATAGTGTCAATATAAACACATCATTCCAAGACTTGGCCCATAGTGTCAATATAAACACATCATTCCAAGACTTGGCCCATAGTGTCAATATAAACACATCATTCAAAGACTTGGCACATAGTGTCAATATAAACACATCATTCCAAGAATTGGCCCATAGAGTAAATATAAACACATCATTCCAAGAATTGTCCCATAGTGTCAATATAAGCACATCATGCTTCATTCTTTCATCACAAAATTTCAGGCCTATTTAAAATCATCAAACTAAATGGTCAACATCAAATTAGGTTTGCTTACCTGTGATATATCCCATACCCGTGTCAGTTGTTGTTGTTCGACTTGGTAAAAATAGGGTTGTTAATTTCATATCTAGACAATGAAATTGGAAAATATACTCTTAATTAAAATAAAACTACACCACATTTGAATTAAATTTACTCTAGTTATTTGGTCAAAATTTTATTTGGAAAACAAACATCACAGTTTACAATTTGTTTAAAGCAAAAGAATCACCTAAGAATAATGTTTGAATAAGCTGAATTAGTATTCTTATGAATAGAACTTAATAGATATAAAATAATGCTGACCTTTGAGGTAGTAGAGTGCCTTATCTCCCTGTACATCCTGGGTGCCTGTCAGACTGATTTGGTGAAGACATGGCAGCCGTGTGAGGCACAGGACAGAATCGGTGACAATGTGAGTGTCAGATATATCCAAGTTTTCAAGGCTGGTCACGGCATCAAGTCCAGCGAGGCTCATTATCTGCAGACATCATGGATAGCCTTTAACATTTCTTTACATCGACATAAACAAATGTAGTCATAGTACTAATGATAGTTGAGAAAAACTTTTAAAAATCAAACTGAAGACAGGCTGTTCTTGTTTTCTTTTTACCTATGTTTGTCACAAAATTGCAGTTCTTTCTTTTTTAGAAAATTTTCTGTCAAACCAAACCAAAACAAATAATACAGCAAAACTACAGCCTACTCTCTTACCTTGGTATGTTTCAGATACAAAGACTTCAGCTTTTTCATGTCTGAAAGAAATGGTTAAAATGTTTGACATAGAATATTTTAATTAAAATTAAATCAATTGAATTATCCACTTTTACCCTTTGGGAAATCCCTATTATGTAAAAGTAATATAATCTATCCCTAGATATTTATAAAAGTAAAATGATCTATCCCTAGATATTTAAAAAAGTAAAATGATCTATCTCTAGATATTTATAAAAGTAAAATGATCTATCCCTAGATATTTATAAAAAGTAAAATGATCTATCCCTAGATATTTATAAAAGTAATATAATCTATCCCTAGATATTTAAAAAAAGTAAAATGATCTATCCCTAGATATTTATAAAAGTAAAATGATCTATCCCTAGATATTTATAAAAGTAAAATGATCTATCCCTAGATATTTATAAAAGTAAAATGATCTATCCCTAGATATTTATAAAAGTAAAATGATCTATCTCTAGATATTTATAAAAGAAAATGATCTATCCCTAGATATTTATAAAAGTAAAATGATCTATCTCTAAATATTTGGAAACATAACAAAACAGAAAGAAATGAATAGTAAAATATAAACTTCAAAATTAGATTTTTTAAATACATTATTTTAATTAGGTCTGAATTTTTGAGTTAACTAGCTTCTCTAATACTTTGTAAAGATGGTAAAATCTCGTGAGTCACAGAAGTCCGACTGAGGTCAAGGTTCAGTAATTGAGCACTTGTTTCAGTGCTGGCAAACTGAACAACACCTGCATCTGTCACACCTGTGCCCTCCAAGTTCAGAGTCTGAAGATTCTTGAGCTCTGATCAACATAGAAATAACGAACATACAATTTCTGTAAAAATCTACTCTGAAGAGACATGGAAAAACAAGACTATTTGAAAAAAATGAACTATCATTGTAATGGTTTCATGAATAGAACTCAAACAATGATCACAAATAAATACACATTTATTTTCACAAGAAAAATAAGCTTAGCTCAGAGCTGTAATGACAATTAATTGTCTAAAAAAAATTGACTAACTATAAAATCCTAGTATTAATGAAGTACTAACCTTGAAGCACAGGAAAACATGCATTAGTTATTTGACTACAGCCACTTAAGTTGAGCACTCTCAATGCCTTCAGTCCTGCACAACAAATAGAATTATTACTGTTTCAGAAGGTTTCAACTTCAATTTAAATATTTAATTTTAAACACCTTTATTTTGGTAAGGGAAATAGAAGACAAGGTGTGTGGTATGTGGAAGCCTGACATATTAAGGACAAGATTGCAAGCTTCCACGTGCTTCGTTCCACTATTTCCTTCACAAAGCTTGAAAGGAGTCCTTCATTTATTATCCCCTATTTTTGTAACATATTAATGTCAATTAGATTAAACAAGATCACCACATTCTGTGATCTGAGTGATATGCTGATGTAGTTACCTTTGATAGAAACCAGACCAACACATTCTGTGATCTGAGTGATATGCTGATGTAGTTACCTTTGATGGAAACCAGACCACCACATTCTGTGATCTGAGTGATATGCTGATGTAGTTACCTTTGATAGAAACCAGACCAACACATTCTGTGATCTGAGTGATATGCTGATGTAGTTACCTTTGATGGAAACCAGACCACCACATTCTGTGATCTGAGTGATATGCTGATGTAGTTACCTTTGATAGAAACCAGACCACCACATTCTGTGATCTGAGTGATATGCTGATGTAGTTACCTTTGATAGAAACCAGACCACTGTCTGTGATCAGCGTGCAAGAGTTGAGGCTGAGTGTGTGAAGGTTCACAAACATCCTGTTTAAAAATAAAAGATAAGGTTTTGTTGAACCCAATTACACTTAGAGAATACTTGTTCTTACATTACTTTTTCTAATAATTTTTCTGAGGCACATCTTTGGGATAAAATTCTTAAATTCTAGGATAAAGTCCTAAAAAATATGGAAGCCTAGTTCAAAGCATATTATAAACTATATGCACTTACCTAACTGCGTGTAATAACTCATTTGTGGCATAAGGATAAAAATCTAGGACCAATTTAAACAGGTAGCTGAAACAGAAACATACTGGTGTTAATGTAGCCTCTGTGAAGGAGTGTGTGGGTTTAAATAGTTATTTTCTAGTCTCTGTGAAGGAGTGTGCGGGTTTAAATAGTTATTTTCTAGCCTCTGTTAAGGAGTATGTGTGTCTGCATAGTACATAACTCAATTGAGATTCTGTAGTAGCTTTAATTAGATTATGTAATGACTCATTCATCGTATTTGATTGATTGAAAAAATTAATAACTTATTCCAAAAAAGTTTCTTACACTATACTGTGTTGTTTTTAGATTATAGTTTAAAAATAGTCATGTTACAATGAAACATTAATATGTGAAATTTCTTGCTACCCATTAATCAACATACATGTATGTATAAAATGTAAGCACCTTGGCATGAGATGCAAAATCTTTGCTTTCAGTAAACTTTCCTTCATGAGGTAGGACAGAAATTTTTGCAACAGCTCCTCTGATAAACCGGACATTGAAAAAATGGGAATTCTCGGGTCAGTGAGTCGTCGCGCCAACATGTACATTGCCAAGTCTTGGAGGCTGCGAACACTATAAAAGTGCTCAGAGTGAGATGCCCTCGGCTCTATGATTTCCTGTACATGTGGCTGTGTTGATCTTTGAGCTGCGGCTTCAGCTAAAACACAGGAAAGCTGTCGTTAAAAAGTGAAACCAACAACAAAAATTACTATGAAATGATTATCTGAAACAAATTTACATTTTAATTTGGCAAAAAAAAAACATATTTTTTAAATGAATGTAATTGTGTATAAGGGAATGAAAAAATTAGACTTAACGTTTTTTTACAGGAATAGTTTAATACAAAACAATCATAACGATGAACTGCTATACACCTAACCAGGCAGGAATACAGAAGGCCAACAGGGTGCTAAAAAGGTATTGAACGGGTTTTGAACCAGGAAGAAATCCCAAAGGTGATTTAGCGACGTTACCAAAGAATAATGGCTTGCACTAAAGCTCTAACTACAGAGGAATATTGCTTCTATCTCAGTCAGGAATATTGCTGCTGCCTGAGCCAGGAAAATTAATTAAAGGAATAACATGGGAGAGAATAAACAACACTAGATTGAAATCTGAGAGAGAAACAAACTTGTTTTAGATTGAACTGATCATACACATCTCAAAAAGCTACATTAACCATTATTGTAGAAGTAAATAAGGGAAAATAGCAATGAATGTGTCGGCAAGAAGCTTTCTTCAGTGACCAAACAATTTAATACATTTGAAACAATCAAAGATAACATTAGAAACAAAGCGAGGGCGTTACTGAAGGAGACATTGAAACCAGAATAATGAATAGATAGATTGAACACATAACTGGGATTTCAAGTGGTAGATTGAACACATACCTGCCATTTTAAGTTATAGATTGAACACATACCTGCCATTTCAAGTTATAGATTGAACACATAACTGGCATTTCAAGTGGTAGATTGAACACATACCTGCCATTTTAAGTTATAGATTGAACACATAACTGCCATTTCAAGTGACTGATTGAACACATACCTGCCATTTCAAGTGACTGATTGAACACATACCTGCCATTTCAAGTGACTGATTGAACATATACATGCCATTTCAAGTGACTGATTGAACACATACCTGTCATTTCTTACTGCTTCAACACATACCTGTCATTTCAAGTGACTGATTGAACACATACCTGTCATTTCAAGTGATTGATTGAACACATACCTGCCATTTCAAGTGACTGATTGAACACATACCTGCCATTTCAAGTGACTGATTGAACACATACCTGCCATTTCAAGTGACAGATTGAACACATACCTGCCATTTCAAGTGACAGATTGAACACATACCTGCCATTTCAAGCGGCCTTCTGTTTAAATGTCTGTTGTTATCCCCTGGGACACCTTCCGGCACAAGTCTGTTACCAAAGCCTTCGAAACGTTGATTATTTCCCAACATCGGATGGGCTGCCAAACCTCTGATCTGATCAAATGGATTGCGAACTATGAAATGTTCAATGTTATCCTCACCTGAAAGAGTAGACACAGCCATGTTGCTTATGCAAATCTACAATAACTACTTTCAACTTTCTGTATAATGTTGTATGGTGGGTGCTGTTTTAATCTACCCGACAGGATGGAAGAGAAGCATTGAATTTGAGTGGATGAAGAAGTAATTGACACTCAGCACATTGTGACATGAACACATGGCACATTGTGACATGAAAACTTTGCACATTGTGAGATGAATACTCAGCACATTGTGACATGTACACTTAGTATCAGTATCAAGTCCCAGGATTTACTACAGCTAGGCTCTCTGGTGTTAAGTTTTCATAAACTAGGCTCTCAGATATACATTTTTTATAAACTAGGCTCTCAGATGTAAGTTTTTATAAGCTAGGCTCTCAGATGTAAGTTTTCATAAGCTAGGCTCTCAGATGTAAGTTTTTATAAGCTAGGCTCTCAGATGTAAGTTTTTATAAGCTAGGCTCTCAGATGTAAATTTTTTATAAACTAGGCTCTCTGATGTAAGTTTTTATAAGCTAGGCTCTCAGATGTAAGTTTTTATAAGCTAGGCTCTCTGATGTAAGTTTTTATAAGCTAGGCTCTCTGATGTAAGTTTTTATAAGCTTGGCTCTCAGATGTAAGATTTCATAAGCTAGGCTCTCAGATGTAAGATTTCATAAGGCAGGCTCTCAGATGTAAGTTTTTATAAGCTAGGCTCTCTGATGTAAGTTTTTATAAGCTAGGCTCTCAGATGTAAGTTTTCATTAGCTAAGGCTCTCTATGGAGGTATTTATTATACATTGTAAAGCTAGACTTGTAAAATATGGAAACTTATTTGAAGCTAATTTATTACCAACATCCATTGGCTCATCCCTGTTTTCATTTTCAGCATCTTCAACCCGAAAACCTCTTCCCCAACGATGCTGCGGGGGACCAGGTGCAGCGTTAAAATCTTCTTCTTCATCTTCATCTGCATCTTCCTCAGGTCGCCTGAATCTCACACCTCGATCAAGGGCTCTCATGATGATCGGAGATTGAACTGTGTTTGGATCCATTGCTTTCAGGAAGATATTCACATGTCCGTCAGCAAACAGAACATTTCAATACATGCGGCACATGTCCGTCAGCAAACAGAACATTTCAATACATGCGGCAGTTTTAAGGTAAAGAACACATGACAAGAATAACTGAGGTAATAATATATAATTTTTGAAAATTATTCAACATTCTGAAATTTTTGAAAAATTCGAGATCAAATTCAAGATAAAATTTTATGGAGCCCTTTATGTTCAGTCTTTGGGTTAATCATAAAATTTTTCATGACATTAGTGAAGTTCAACAGAACAGAAAACAATTGGACACTGACCTGTAATTTCTTAGATTCAACAAAAAAAAATTCAATAAAATAAATTCCATAAATATAAAAGTAACATACGAGAAGCTTGCTGCACATCTTTCTTTTTCAGCACGAGTGAACCAGAAGGTACAAGTCCTAGCTCTTTCAGGGTAAGGCGCATTTCTTCTCTGGAAAATTCTTTTCTTGGAAATGGCTGGGATATCAAAAGGAACGAAATAGATTATCTCAGAAGTCCACAAAGATTAAGGACACAAAAGCAAATGAATAGTACTATTTGTAAGTTAAAGAAATACAGTTTCTCAGGTTTGTTGCTTGGTCTGTTTGTCATAACTTATAACACTGCACTCAGTTGTTTATTTCTGCTACTTTTCCCACCTGTATGAATCCTGAGTGTGCATTCATGGCTGTTTTAAGGAGACTGTAAACCGAGTCCCACACATCACTCAACGTAGAGCTCACTGAAAAACTCTGTCTGTACATTTGTCCAGATGGCAGCCTGACCTGGGATTGAACATCAGTCACAGAATTTATTGATTATTAATTAGAAAAATAATTTCTTAATCCAATTTAAGAATAAAATATTAATCTCAATGCACATCTCTCCCTTTTACTAAAGAGCTATTCGATGTAAGTTTACCTGTATGCTGGTTGTAGTAACGTCCTCCTGTCCATCTGGAGATTCTCGCAAAGTGGTGGGCAGTTGGTTGATTTGTGGTTGTGTGGCGTGAAGGTCTAATTTAGATTGCTTTGTTAACTTAGCCTTCTCTCTGTCTTCTTGGATTTCCTTGAGAATTCTTTCCCGTTCCTATCCATTGAAACCAAGCATTTTCCGATTTGTAAGTACTTTCAAGAACTAAGATTAATATCTATTTTTTAAGTCAAATACAAAAATTCATCGCTATTTGTATACTTTAAATAAAGTGCGTACATGTTTTTTTTTCCTTTTCTCGTCACTGGCAGTTCGCTTAGCCTCAAGCCTTTCTTTCTCTTCAAAACTTTGCTTGATTTGTAGTTGTTTTTCAGATAAATGTGATCTGCTGACAACCGCGTCATCTCCTATATCTATTCCCATAGCTTCTGATGATGTGGATGACTCCATAGTCAGGGTGCCGGTCAATGCCGATATATTGGCCTGGACAAAAGGATTGCTAGTACCGCCCGCCAGTTCTCCCTGGGTCTGGGTCTAAGCATAAAATTGAAAAGAGGAAACCCTGAAGAAAACAGTGTTACAATGAAATTGTATTGCTAGTGCAAAAATAATTCAAGCATCAATCAAGATTGATTTCTAAGAGAAATTATTCCCAAATGATGAGGTGACAGACAGATTCAATCAAATCAAAGATTTCAAGCATTTTACTAGCCAAAAATAAATATAAGAAGCAATTCTTATTTCAAGTTCACAGCTACCAGTTTTAAGTGTTAAAATTACAAATGATCATTCAACACTCACAACCCATATCACCTTGATATCATTTATTTTTTAAACAGGGGAATACGATATGCTAAATTTACATATTTTTCATGGGTTTAAACAAAAACTGTCAAAATTTAAAAATAACATTTATATCTTTCAAAAAATTTAAATAGCAAATTCAAGAAACTCATGGGCATGAAAATTAGATTTTCTGCATGAAAATTGAAAATTAGATTTTCATACATAATTAGGGTTAAGTAAAAAGTATTTTTCCAAAATTGCAACCATTCATTAACACAAAGGTATCTGAACCACAAGCTTTTAAATTTTCAAAAAAATTATTTGTTTTTTTAACCCTATTACTGTCATAGTGGCTGATGATCTGCTGTCATTCCAGTTTATGTGGTGTCGTGGCCATTATAATCGGCCATAAGCAAAATCGTCATTAAAAGTGCGAATTGATTTAATGTATATTGTTAAAGGGGAAATCACTCTATGTAAATGAGTTTGCTTCCTATTTCTATTACTATCAGTGTTTTTACATGCTTTTAACTAGGGACTATTTTTGTGATTAATCAGGTGGGAAATTTTCTCAACTTTTTTCACCGGGAGTGGGCCCCCTTTGGGATTTCAAAAGTAACACAGAATTTCTTTATTGGAATTATTTAAAATATATTGAAATGAAAGCAAAGATATCAGAGATATCCCATGTGCTAGTAATGACAGCATTGACTCTAGTGGTGATGTTGAGATAAGTGTCAGATATCGACAATTTTATTCCTAAGCTTAGTCGTATTGTTACAGACACATTCCTTTTCCGAAAGGGTGGAAATTGAACAGAAAAAGGACACAGATTTGATCCCATGGATCTACCCCTAAGATTTTATGTTTTTTTATGTTCTGGAGTATTAATTAATAAAAAATGGATTTAATAACTTCAAATGAAAAGTAATATTTGAACTCATTCGTGCCTTCCCCATTGTATTTTGTATGACAGAAATTTGAAGGTAGTGAATGAAATAATTCACAAATATCACAAAAATTACAATAAGTAACTATAACTTGGCATTTTCTGAAAGAATATTGCTTCTGGTATATCCAAAACATGATTTTATGATCGTTAGAACAATTTATGGAGTTTTTAGGGTGGGTTGAATTCAGAAGTTGAGTGCTAAAATTTTACTCACTCTGTAAAAGTCAAGGTCAATATCAACATATATAATATAAAAACAAATTCTTTTCATACCATAAGATACCTTGTCCAATGTCCTTTCAGAAAATGTATACTCAAAAGAGTCTCTGAATTCATTTAGTCTGGGATTTTTGACAAGCATATGAAATTGCTAAAAATGGCTTGGTGCTATAAAAATTTGTTCTTGACAGTTATAGGGTTAAACAAGAAAATCTGTTATGTTATAAATAAAAAAAAAACTGATCAGTTGGGTGACTAATCAAGAGAGGCCTTAAATTAATATAAACAACAATCAACTTTGTCTTGATTCCATAGCAATGAATATCAAGCCATTTGTTACCATACTATCTATGACAAGGGTATTTAACATTAGAGATATAAATGAGACCATTTCCCTGTGCCAACATATATTGACAACGATCATACATAGATTTCAGGCTTTTCAATTTCTAGTGCACTCCATACTAAAAATACCATGGAATGAATACATATGGAGGAGAATAGATTGATTTCCCTTTGTTATCAAACCACATCCATTTGTTATGTGAATTAAGACATTTTCTTAGATTGTTTCTACCTTTCATTTTTTAAAAAAAAAATTTTTCATGGAAATTTATTTAAACACAACTAATAGATTTATTAATTGAAAAGTGCATGAAAATGTTAACAATTTTAACTACCAACCTTGTTCAACTTTAAAGTCGTTTGAGTAGCAGCAACATTACCTGGCTTGCCTGCAAGAATCCTGCAAATAAAAAGTAAATTGCTTCAATTTTTTTTGAAGACCAGGTCATTATACATGGTATTCAGCTAATTGTTAATAGTCATGTTAATTTTAATAAATCAAAATATTTTTTATTATTATACCATGCATTTTTATGATGTAAAGAATATTTTTAAGAATTGTTGCTACATTTTAAAGTTACATAAATACATAAAACTGATGTGACCTTTACTATACAAAAAAAGTATGTTTTACAAAAAATAGTTCATTCATTTCATGCAGTAAAGTTGAAAAATAAAATAAAAATACTACTAGTTTTAGGCCTTGATGATTAAAGGCATCCCAAAAAGTGGTTGATTAGTTAATTAGTACAAAAAATACAAATAGGCTTGTTTGTAATTACTACAATTAATTAGAACAAGGTCCACTATTTTATTACCTACCAATCAATTGCTGCTTGAACAGTTAGTTTACCATTTGTAATTGCTTCGTGACAATCACTAAACTCAAACCCCATGGACATGAGGGTAGCCATTATATCATCCAAACCCACACTCTGAAAGCACAGTGGGTAACCATAATTAAAACAGTATAAATAACTGTAGTCTTTCATTTATAAGTTTATATTTTATAGTATAGGCACTTCAAGCAAAAATGCGATGGACAGAGATCAATGCTTCTGCACTGCTCACTTTTAACTGTGTGGATAGCAATACCAGGCCTAATGTTCCATCTTTACTATGCAGGGGCCAGGGGGATTGTAGAACAACAATGCCTACGAGGCAAATGTAGCAAATTAACCCACGAGCTGTAAAAATGCCATTTTGGCTGGGTATGGATTTTGTTAAAAAAATCTTGTATATGTAAGACTAAGATGTTAATCTTTCAAAACAAAAACATGATTTTCATTTTTATGAAAGTGATTTTGAAAATAATTTTTTAGGCATTACTCATGGTACTGATAATTGTAACAGCTGTATATTTATAAGAATAGATTGTTTTGTTATTTTAAGTATTAAGATGAGATTTTTGGATGTCATGCCCAGAGAGAGAGGAAGGAAATAGATATAGAGATTCGAATGGTCAAGAAGTGCGCTAAAGTATGTAGGATTGTTTTAAGTTACATCACATTGAATTGGAACAACTATCGTGCATCTGTCTGGATTATAAAGTATATGAAGTATATAGGATCATGACGATTTTTTTATTTCAATACTTATTTTATATTGTGAATTTTTAATGTTAGTGTGAAATAAAAAGACAGCCTAAAGACATCTGGTTGGACGGTGATGTTGCTCTCACAACATCAGCAGTCTACTTTCCCAGGGGTCAGAATGGTGTATTTAGACCCTGATATCTCCCCCTGCCCATCCCAGGGAAGCATCAGACATCCTTTAATATGATTTTCTACAGTGGGTTTCAACCTCACAAATAGTTGACAAAGTAGCTAGGATGAAACGGTTGCGTAGGAACAGCCTACTCTACTAACTTAGTTCATTACCTAACTAGTGCAACTATTTGCAATCAAATAATAATAATTATAATAGTCTATACTTATAGAGCCTGTCTAGTGCTGCCTACAAATTTGGCCCTAATGGGTTAAAAACTAGTACCTTACTACTGACACTGATGACTTATTCTTATTAAGTTTAAGTTAATTAAGCAATTAATACTAAAAAATCCTGCCAATGTGATTTTGTATGTGTTGGTGAGCAAAAATTTTTAGTAATGTTTTAATGTAGTTTTAATTTACTGTAGCATATTTGTATATGAACGAACGGACAGGACATCAGCTTAGTTACTTTCTCTTTATTTTCTCTTTACTTAAATACATTTTTTGTCTATTTTTGTCTAAAAATTTTTTATCCAATCAATCTGAGGGGGGCAAGTGCCCCCTCTTGCGGGCGCCCATGGTTGAGGCCACAACATTTGCGTCTACTATGGTATCGCCTCAGACCTTCCAATCCCCAGTTCATTCATGATATCCTCGCTGAGTAGCCCTTGCAACCAGTGAAATATCCTCTTCAATAAAAGGCACAGAAACATTGCAAATCCCCTCTACATAAATAGGAGCCAGCATAAAAAAAAAGGCTTCGTAAAAAAAAACAACAACAATGCATTGTTGTTCGTGGGCCCTTAATATATGGAAGATTTTGAATAAGAGAGAACAAAAAGAAAACCTAATGACTAATACTAATACTAATAAAATAAATAATAATAAAAATTATTTTTTTAGGCAAATAAGTCAAACAATTTGACTGCAGATTCAAAAGTTTCAGTTTACCACAACACATTATAATTATTATTTTAAAAAAGATAGGCAAACGACAGATAATGGGGGTGATATTTTTAAGAAAATCAATTATAAAAATAAGCCGAGTATTAAGTATTCTTTATGCTGGAAGTTTACCTCGGACGCCATTTTAGAAACTGGGGAGTAATCATTGTAAGTTTTTATAACTCAATCCGACAGCCTCTAAATCAGGGGTCGGGAACCTATGGCTCGCGAGCCAGATGTGGCTCTATTGATGGTTGCATCTGGCTCGCAGACAAATGTTCGATTATTTTAAAAAAAAAGTCGCATTAATGGTAAGAATACTCATTATTAATTAACAACAGCAAAACAATGTTATTAAAAAGAATTCAGAGACATAATTATTGCATTTTAAGTGTTGAAATCACACAAAATGCACACATTTGCTTGAATATTTAGTTTTAAACATAATGTATGGCTCTCACAGAATTAAATGTTCAAAATATGTGGTGTCCATGGCTCTCTCAGACCAAAAGGTTCCCAACCCCTGCTCTAAATCAATGCCACACGCGACCTGTTGAAACGTTACATGCGGTCCGCAACATCTTTAGGGAACTTAATTAATATATTTCTAAAAATGTATTAAATATAAATATTATTTGTAAATTCCAATGAAAGTAAAGTAATCCAATTTTAAAATTGTCATACTGTAATAATTATAATAACAGTATTAACTTATATTATATACTGATAATAATTTGTCCGAACTTGTTTTATTTTATTATTATTTTTTATTGACTTAATAAATCTACAAATTTATTGCTAGAAAATAATCATATAGCCAGGGTTTCTTTCAGCTATATCTCGGGAGGGGGGGGTGTCCCAAGTGCCCCCCCCCCGGAGCAAAAATATGCCCAACAATAAATAAACTGGCACTGCCCCCCCCCTAAAAATCTGAAGNATCAACATGTAGCCTACATGTCCAGAATTCATAGAAACGATCTCAAAGCTGTACATCAACATGTAGCCTACATGTCCAGAATTCATAGAAACGATCTCAAAGCTGTACATCAACATGTAGCCTACATGTCCAGAATTCATAGAAACGATCTCAAAGCTGTACATCAACATGTAGCCTACATGTCCAGAATTCATAGAAACGATCTCAAAGCTGTACATCAACATGTAGCCTACATGTCCAGAATTCATAGAAACGATCTCAAAGCTGTACATCAACATGTAGCCTACATGTCCAGAATTCATAGAAACGATCTCAAAGCTGTACATCAACATGTAGCCTACATGTCCAGAATTCATAGAAACGATCTCAAAGCTGTACATCAACATGTAGCCTACATGTCCAGAATTCATAGAAACGATCTCAAAGCTGTACATCAACATGTAGCCTACATGTCCAGAATTCATAGAAACGATCTCAAAGCTGTACATCAACATGTAGCATACATGTCCAGAATTCATAGAAACGATCTCAAAGCTGTACATCAACATGTAGCATACATGTCCAGGATTTGACAAGTCAAATAGGACAATTCGGTTATGAACGTCCTAAATTAAAAGATATAAATATATGTAAATTCAACGCTGCCCTTTGGGGTGTGCGATCTGTGCCCTCACACAGGGCGCCGTGGCCATGGGGACGCCAAGTAAATATTTAAATTCCTTTAGTTTATTATACTGAAGTGTGAACCTCGGGTCTAAATTAATGTGCATGTTGAAATGCGTATGATTAGCTACATGTATAGCATCATAAAACGTGCTCCATTGCCTACGTCGTAATCGGAAAAAGAGCGGAGCCATACAGGGAAGCGGGCGCCGAACGGGTGCCTCGCACAGGGCCAAAGTCTTGCTTTCACTATGCGTTGGTGAGATGTATCCACGATACCCATGGCTCATTCACAACCCTTAGTCTCATGGCGCCTCTTCTGACCACACGCTGACAACACACTGCTTCATCGTGATTTTAGAAACACACAGCGCGGTAGCAGGCTGAGTAGCGAGGCAACGGTCTAGGCCGCACCTTTTTCATAGTGTAATTCGGTGACAGCGTGGCACTGCATGTGCTATTCGCAGGGAAAACACGATTTTGCGGATGTCGAGTTTGAAAGGATTTGCGCTATTTTAATTTTTGTTAAGAAATCAATCAGTCCCGGGTATGGCTTAACGCATTTGCCTCGACACGGTGCTATTTCAAGTTTCGCTATTCACAGGTTTCCCTGTTGCCCTATTATGTCAATGTTGCTCTACAGATGTGATGGGGGTGACCTTAGTCACACCTGTAAGCAGGGGCTGGCCACGACATAGCTGCGCTCAGCTGTTTCATCAATAAATGATATGGGTAATATACTATGTAGATATATGGGCAATATACTATGTAGATATATAGGCAATATACTATGTAGATATGTTGGCAATATACTATGTAGATATATAGGCAATTTACTATGTAGATATAATGGCAATTTACTATATAGATGTATTGGCAATTTACTATGTATATATATTGGTATGATATTGGTATTATACTACCGGTCTATAGATATATAAAAAGTCCCTTAAAACCCATCTGTTTAGGTCCGCCTATGACCCGTGATGCACCCTCCTTGCCCTGCCTCATTTTCTGTCTCGGGTTTCTATAGTATAGTAGTTACTATCCTAGTGTCTCATTTTTATTTTAGTTAGTTTACATGTTTTTAATAATTGTAAAGCGCTTAGAGCTTTAAGGTAAGCGCTATATAAAAATGTCTAAATAAATAAATAAATAAATATAGACAATGGTTTTTTAAATTAAAGGGTGCAAGACTGTCACTTTGATTGGGAGGAAAAGGGGGGGGGGGCAGAAATCGAGTGAGCCGAAGGCTTCTGAATAAAAGTGAGGGTACGTTTGATAAATTCAAAATGCATGAATACATGTAGGCCTACATTTTGGCTCATACTTGAAGTTAGTTTTCATCATTCTACACTTAATTTTAATCGGAGAGCAACAGGATAATTGCTGGTGGAAATGTAGGTGTCGTTTGACCTAGTTTTGTTTCTAGAAATCTCAAATCCTTATAAATGTTATTCTAACTACTTGCTTAAATAATTTTTAACAATCGATGCTATAAAAATATAACAAAAATAAAATTACCCAGGCGTCATCAAAAGACAAGATAGACATCCCAATACCCGCGCCACCGCCTGTCATTTTTTTGGGGTAACATTAAATATTTCGACAATTGTCGTTATCCACGCCATATGTTCATAAAGTAATATTTAATCAAACATAATAAGTTAATTCACAATTCATGTGTTTTTTTTTTTTTTTTTTTTTTTTTTGGGTGGGGGGTGTTTAACATTTTTTTTTTTTTTTGTTTTTTTTTGGGGGGGGAGTGTTAAACATTGTATTTTAAATGTCCCTTCCAAATTTGATAGCTCTAACTTTAATAGCCCAAAAATATACGTGCAAAAATAGTACAAAAAGAGTAATAATACGATCACAGCTTTGAGAATAAATTACAAATGACCTAATCCAGTGGTCGGCAAACTCATAAGTCAAAAGAGCCAAAAATCAGCAGCAGGACGATTAACAATTTTTTTGAGGGCCAATTTTATTTTCAGGAAACTGTTAAGAACTATGTTTTTCGGAGTCAAAATTGTGGCCGACTGGCCGAGCCGCACTCAAGTTGCTAAACAGCCGCATGCGGTTCTCAAGCCGCGATTTGCCGACCCTTGACCTAGTCCAAAATATTAGGAAACAAAAACAATCATAACCCAATTCTCTATTTACCAAACAGCATACATTAACTTCCGTTGTTTCCCTTGATTCCCCATGCTACCCAGCCCTTCCCTTCCTCTATTCCTTTTTTCTTCGTTCCCTCCCCCGCTAAGTTATTCCCCCCCCCCCCCACACTCCTCCTGACTACAGACGGTGTACTCCGCACTCAATCATTTTTGTCTCTCTGGTAACTTCACCTCGCTTGACGATCGTTGGTGCAGTCGTTCCTTGTTCTGAGAGGGAGGAATTTTCGGATAATGGTTGCTGTTTATTCGTGATTTCAGAGACAGCTGAGTGAGTAGCACAGATATGGTCTTTCGGCTTCTATCTTTTTTAAAATCTTTACGTGTGTGTGTGTATGTGTTGGTTTTAGTTGTCGGATCGCTGGAACACTAACATTTTATGTTCTTTGAAGTGGAACCATTTTCGATAGGCCTAGAGTGAAAGTAAGACTAAAAGTAAGCCACGGTTATCAAATATTTGGCTCACAGCATGCTACTGCTCTGAGTAATACCACACCATTTTATTCAAATTGATGCTTAGCATTGCAAGAGCTATTTTAAACGGCCTATCGCGCTGCTCAGCCAATCACACACCCGCCTTAGACTTAGGCCTTAGGCCTGTTAATAAATTGCTCTGAATTCGTACAGGCAATTCCGAATTGAAAACTCAATAATGTAGTAAAATATACAAGATGATGGTCCTACAAATATTTAAAACAACAAAACAAAACAAACAAAGGTAGATAATAATGAAAAGAAGGGTAATTCACGGCTGAAAGTTTTCAGTTGGTGTGTAATGTGTAGTCGCAGTCGGCAGTGAATCAAATTCAAATATTGACCGGTCTGAACGGGCATCAGCGAACGAAAGGGTGCGTGTTTGGGAGCGTTGGAGCGTCGCGGCAACACACAGTTCCTTTAACCTTTTCTGACATATTTTGAAAAAGCAGCAGGGATATTGGGGTCTGTAGCGAGCTGGCTGATGTTCCCTTGGCAACCTAGACCTAACAATGTGAAGCCGATCGGTCCGTCTAGGGTCACAAGAAGATGTCTGTCCATGTTAGTGTTTTTTTTTTTTTAGTGAAAGTAAATATATTCAGAGGCGTAGCGAGGGTGTTTGGCGCCCGGGGACAAGTTCCATTTTAAATCGCCCCTTTTTCTTTTTTTCAACTCTCAAACCGTTATTTTCATCAATAAAATAATATCGAAGCACATTTTGGCGCCCTTAACTAGCTGGCGCCCGGGGACATCTGTCCCCCTTGCCCTCGTCGCTACGGTTCTGTATATATTGTATCAAAGATGTTGTTTCCCCCACCACAGCTTTTAATAGGATAAATATAATCGAGTGTTAGAAGAAAATGACGATGAAATATTAGTAACAATAGGATAATTATAATTGAGTGTTAGAAGA